GGGGGGGGGGGGGGGGGAAGAGAAAATGTTGACATAATTACTTAGGGGGGTCATTGAAAGTTTGACAGTTGTTGGCATACAAAAAGGGGGGGGGGTCCAAAATTGGGTAAAAATTGTTGACATAATTAATGGACGACCCCTGGCTGGATATTATGTTTGATTACGAGCTATGTGCTTTTTAAGATTAATTAGTGAACGCTCTTCCCACGCTTGACGTGGTGACGTATTTTTATGCTTATTATGACGTATTGTCTAGTCTGCTGTGTGACGTACGTTCTGGATGTGCGGCAGTCGTGAATGGAACTTTGTGAAAGAAGGTTGTGTTGTTTTTTTCTCTCTGATATCGAGCTGCGCTATACCTGTGCATATGCAATTAACATTCTGTGAATGTACATTAGATTTTAAAGTTGCATTTATTATGAAAGAGGACTTGCGTTGAATCAGTGCTAGTACGACGTATTACAACGTGTGAAAGAACTTGATGAATTAACCAATCTAGTATAAACACAGGGGTTTGACACTGTAGTTGCCCATGTTTATATAAGAGATGTGTCGTTATCTTCATCCATAGGTAATGTCTAGGCCTATATTATATTTCAGTAGCAGATGTGGAGTGTAGTTTACAGTGCGAATCATCGAAGTCCTTTGCGCCAACCTGAATTCCGTAGCAATGGAGCTCAAAAGATTATTTTTCTACATTTAATTATCGAAGTGGCTATTCGCACCCGGGTACCAGAAGTGGGAGGTTGGGATTAAAAAAAACTATTTAAAATATTATTGTTGGGTTTGTAAGACAAAATGAGGTATCAAATGACAGTTAATTAAATCGAGTTTTTTTTTGTAAACTTACTTCTTCAGTTTAACTAAAATAAACTACCACAAATGACATCCGAATAGTATTTAGTCAAAATGGCCCCGGACACGCAGCGCCTCCATTCGCACCCGGGTCCCATTAGACCACTCACTTCTGGTACCCGGGTGCGAATAGCCGCAGGCCTTATTACTTTTTTAATTGAATGGCTTTTGAACGTTTTCTGACCCACACTCTCTTCCGTACCATGATGCTGCACTCAGCACACGTGATGGATTCGCTAAGGTGAAGAAGACTTTCTCCTCTTTTCAAAGCTCAATCGAACATTGCGCATGCTGCTAGACGCTTTTTTTTTGTTTTGTTTTTGGAATTGTAGGGCGTAAACAAACGACTTCACACTGTTCAATCATCCAATCAGCGACGTAAGCTTGAGCTTTGAAGACACAAGTTAACAAATCAGGACAATCATGTGTCGACTCACCTGCTTGCAATTTGTTTTTTTGTTTTTTTTTTCTATTTCAGGTCAGAATGGATTTTCTGAGAATGTAAAGAAGCAGATTTTCGTCTCACTAAATAGTGCGTTCAAAAAGAAATTTGACGCAAATTCGATTGTGCGAACTGAGGATCACTGCTCTTCTCATCCAAGGATTGTTATTAAAGAATAATTGGATTGGTTGGTTTGTTTTTGGGTGTGGGGAGAGGGGGGGGGCGTGAAGAATTTCATCTATACAGAAAACATAAAAATGCCGATGATCAGTTTGTTAATGCATTTCATCATGCGCATGCGCATAACTGAATAGTTCCGCACGTTTATTTTTGATTTCTTTGGTGTATTGACATGCGGCCCCTCAGGGTGTTGACTCGCGATAAAAATACCCCATGAAGCCGCTTGGGTTCGACACCCATGGTGTAGAATGTAGACGGAATCCTTCTAAGTTTGCACACGTCCAGTGGACTTTCCGACCACAACAAACGCAGCGCACCAAACCGCACATCTCGCATTTCTCTGGATGTTGCCTATTGTAACAGCTGCTTTATAAGGTATTTTTACCCAGTTATAATTGGTACCTCCCATGGAGTGTTATTTTGTTGATACGAATGATGGATCGGTTACTTGACATGTAGTGACAGGCCAGGAAGGTGTTGAAGAATATAAACCGATAACTCTCTTATTTGAGGATCTTGATTCCAATATATAGAGCTATATTTATATTATAATATGTAGTGGATTAAATTTGTCTTTTTAAAATGTATTATTATTATGAATGCAGTTGGACTATTGAGATGTGTTAGACTAAATGTATTTATCAGTGGTGCTACTGCCATAGTGTAGGGGACACATGACATGTGTACGCGCTTAGAAAATGGAGCAGGTGCACTGCAGGTCGAAAATATTTCAGGAGGCCAGACATTCAGATATTTTTCTGACCAAACCGTCCACCGTGTAAATAATTTTTACGAGAATAACGACTCGAGGACTCGCAACTAAAGAGTCTCAAAATCTTTGACAGGATGACCAAAATAGTCCTCCTCTCATAGTTGTGTATAATAGAGATTATGGCAAAATAGGAGGATCTTTTCATGTTTTTTTCTTGTACAATTTACATACCCCCAGTACCAGTACATGAATCCAATTCTGAACGGCGACATAGTGAGGGAGTCCTGCTCTGAGCGATAGCTAGGGCGTGGGCGTTAGTAGGGGAGTTGAAATTATCTCATACGTGACGTTACCAAATCATAAAAATATAAACACTGTTTATGCTTCAATTTTTAATACTTTTAAATAATGAAGGTTTAGAGAAAAATATCATGCTTTGTATGAAGAACGAAAATAGAAAAGATTACAAATATTTTTTGACCTATTTAAAATAGATGGCACCAGACCGTGAATAATTGTATATTTAAACGATGTCTCTCCAGGCACTACACAACTGTGGCACCGGCCCTACCTAGGAGTCTACGTTTAATGCACAGCTTCCGGTCGCCTGGACATCATTAGAAACTGTTTACCTCCCATGGAAACGAGCTTCTTCATTGACTCCCGCTACTGTTACCATTTATTGAAAACTAGTGTACAGCCTGAACGCAAACACTTGGTTAGAACTCCGTAAAAAAAAAATCAGTACACTTATTTGATTTCAAATATTTTACATTGGCTAGCTACTTTTTTTTGGGGGGAAAGACTTGATGCAAGCATCTGAACATGCTGTGAGAGGCTGTCGGTGACCACGGGTGAGCTTGCCTCCAAGGACGTAACTTCATCGTGGGTGTACAGGCCCTGCCAAGTGACCACATGAAACTTATTTCAGGGCTCCGGCACTGCGTGAACCACACAAGCTTTCAAAGACACCGTGACCTTGACCTCAACTACTACTCTCGTGCGAAGAGCAGAAACCACGCGGGCGAGCACGTCGGCCCACGCAGAATCGTGGGATATGGAATAAACGCTCCGATCACGCCATTCGCCAATCCAAAATACCTCTCAGGACCCCCGTTTTCAAACAGATATCTTTACCTCGCTTGTCTCGCGTCCCTGGGCGTTACGGTATTCTGTTCGCTTTTGATTGGTAGAGACAGACGTTTGAAACGTCACTCACAAGTTCCGGGGTACGCGTGCAGCAGCGTGCCCGAAGACAACCCTACACCCGCAGGCACGAGCAGACGTCACGTAAGCCCATTAAGCTGGTCGGACATATTTTCACACTTTGCGCCAATTTCTTCTTCCGTTTTGGGCGCACCAGCAGATTTCGTCGTTTGGGCGAAAGATAAAACCGACAAGATTCGAGGATTCCCCCCAGCAAGTTTGTGCCCGTTCTCGGATATTCTGGTATCTAACTTAAACCAGCGGGTAGATCAGTTCTCCGATCCTCTGTCAACCAGTTGGTTGGAGTTCAGGTCATTCCTACGAGAAAATTCAGCGTTCGCTCCCAGGGCTGGGATTGGTTCAAGCTTTGAGAAAGCAAATCATGCAAACCGTCTTTTGATCAGTCCCAAACTGCCGGATCAAATAGTTTCACTGCTTATCTTGCCAGAACTTTGCGTCTAATTTTTTTTTTTTTTTTTAAAGTTGGGAACAGAAATCCGTTCTCAGTCCAGTAGGTGTATTGACAATTAAGACGCATTTGAAACGGTCGCATTGTTAGTCTGATGAGGACTCTTCACGCAAAAAAGGTTTCCAATGTGCATCCTTTCCATAAGTGAAAGCTAACCAGCAATGTGGATTGACTGGATTTAATTAGATATCACGTTAGACTAAAACGTTCTTCGGGCGTTTCTAAAAGATGGAGAGGGGATATTTTGTGTATCTGATCCATCCAAGCGGTCGGTCATGAGCGAAACGACATTGCTGTCTTATGAGTCGGCGCCGACGTGGCGGAATGGGATCCATCGCAATCTAAAAAAGTTGTGCCGCTTGTCGGAAGAGAGGAGTATCAGGGCGAAACGGTTGTATAAAATCGGTGACCTCAAGCGGCCAGTGAGCGAGTCCATGGGATTTCTGACCCCCATCCAAAAGAGTAAAGCCCCTGTCGATGAACCGGCGGCTTGCTTGCAGCAGCGGGTGATAGACCTCAACATAGAGTCTTCGGGAGTTCCTCGACCGGCGCCGGACAGATCGAGTGAGAGCCCAACCAGGAATATGGACGACCCGCTGAAAGCCGGGGAAAGACGGAAATTCCATAAATCAAACAGTTCAAGCTACCACTTGGTGAAAGGGAAGGGTGTTGTATCCGCGGCGAATCTTGACGCGGGCCAAAATCTGCTGCTGTGCAAAAATCTGCAAAGACCTTTTCAGAATCAGGCGCTGTCGCGCCTTCGCGTCAAGGCGCACTTCCAGTCCAGCAAGCCCATCGAGGCCATCTCTCAATGCAACCATCAGTCGGGCTACAACCAGGAGGAGCATCTGGCAGAAGAGGGGCAATACCCGCTGAAGCAGTCGGAATGGTCCGGCATCGAGGTCAACGGAAACTGCAACAAGTCCGAGGATGTGCGGTCGTTAACTCCACTAATTTGCGGCGTTAACAAGCTGCCCCCCGCCCGGCATAGTTTACAGTATGGCCAGCCATCGCTCGGTTGTGGTTTGGTAAAAAATAACCATTTCAACGTATCGCCGATGGGCGTAAAGAAATTAGCGTGCCCTCAAAACATCCTCAAGAGTCTACATACGAATGCCTCGAAAGTTTACAAGCAATCAGAAAACGAATCGCCGAACAAAGAGGATGTCCGGTTAAATTTTAACCAATGGCTTCAGTCGTTGGGATTCGATGGCGAAAAAGAGGCTCGGTCTCTGAGTGGTCTACCGTCGGTTGGGGGGATTGCGAAAGCGGCGGCTCCGACACCCCGAAATAAAGTTGGGGGCCTACAAGTCGGCACGTGCAGGCTGAAAAGTAGACAACGGATGGAGAACTGGTTGGGGTGTACGGAGATCAAGGGACGGAGACACGCCAAGAGATTTGAACAGAAATCATCAGCCCATGTATGTCCAGATAAAGTCCAAAAGCCAACGTCATCGGCCAGGCAACCTATGAAGAGCACATCAAGTCCCAACCGGGACTCGGGCATGCCAAACAGAAGCCCACGCCCCGGTTCAGTTACTCCAAGCAAGGATTTTGGTCAGACTCTGCCATATTTATCCCTGGATCAGGGAAATGCGAGCAAATGCAACACTAACAACGGGGCACTGGCGGCGAACGTCGCTCGCACGGTGACAACGAGAAGTCAGAGAGCAAACAAAATGAGCAGAGACTCCAACAAATGTACCTCGAGGAACGCCCGCCAACATTTCGAAAACAGCAAAGACAAACCAACAGAGCGGCACCAGAGCGCACCGTTGTCGTGCGGCGCGGGGGTGAACACGGACACCGCACAATGCACACCAGACAAAGAAAAAAGGCCGGTTAAAAAGACCCCGACAAAAGCCAGCAGGCAGTCCAAGAAAACCCAGCGGCCCGTCAACAAAATCCGTCCAAGGAGGGGACATCAGGAAAAGGCCTGCCGAAAAGTCGGCTTGTTCACCAATCAGGTGAGCAACTGCAGGAAGCCGGCGCTGTTCATGCCGTCTCCTGACACGCTGATTGAGGAGAAAGCGTTCCTGGACCAAGAAGATGGGGACGTTAACGGAAGTGCCGAAAAGGGGTTGGTGGAGTCGTCCGGCTATCGCGGCCAGAAGAAGAAACCTTCAGAAGAGAGCTCAGATGAGTTCCTCAACGACGAGGAAAGTTTTCTCATGGCCAAGTGGGCGGAGCTGCGCAACTTGAAACCGCCCAAGGCGTTCCATTCTAAGGTAAGAGAAGACACAAAGAAAAGCTCTTCTTGAGAATGGATTGCCTGTGACTGCAATAGGTTACCGTGTGATTGCAATAGGTTACCGTGTCTGCAAGTGCAAGGAAACATGTTTTTATCGGAAAAGGGGGGGGGGGCGGAAGAAAGCAAGACGGGTATATAGGAATGGAAGGTGAGATTCGTAGGTCAGAGTGTCGCAAACAATAACGTTCTGTTAAAAATAAGTTAGAGATTCACAAACAATTGCAGTATTTCAACAACAAATCAGAGTGTCACTAACAATGACAAAATGTCCCAATGAGAGTATGTCAAAAATAATTCAGAGCATCACTTACAATTTCAGTATGTAAAAAGTAAGTCAGGTTGTCACAATGACAAATGTCAAAAGTAATTCATGATGTCACAAACAATGAAAGTAGTTCAAATATAAGTCAAGGTGTCATAAATATTGAAAAAAAGTCACAAATAAGTCAGGATGTCACAAATAATGACAGTATGTACAAAATAAGACAATGTTTCACAAGCAAAAATATGTCAAGAGAGTTACACAAATATGACAGAATGTCATAAATAAATAAGTCTGAGTGTCACAAACAATGAGAGGTCACAAATAAGTCATGGTTTCATAAACAATAACAAAAGTGTCACAAAATAGTCGGGGTATCATACACAATGGCAGAAGTTTAAAAAAAAAATTAGGGTGTCGCAAACAATGACAGAATGTCACAAGAATTGTAGGATGAAAACAAATGGATGCAAAAGCAAGCTACAAATTAAATAAAATTCATGGAGGTGGGAGTGCAAAATAAATTTTACAGAAGACAACTTAGATTGTCTACAATCAGTGGAGTAGAAAGGGGTGTTGAGGGGGGCTCTGCCCTGGGGTGCACTTTTAGCTTTATATGAAGGGCCGCAATTTGTCGCAAACTCCAGAGTTTTTTTTCTCTTCTATATTTTGAGGGCCCATGGTCAACGTATTGATCATTCAGGCTCCTATATTTTAAAGGGGTATAACTGCGCATGGTTTTTATTGTGGAAGAGGGGCTGAAAATGGTTTGCCCGTCCCGGCGGCGGCACTAACCCTAGCTAATGTCACTGCATACAATGTATTTAGTATTTTATGTGACCAATGCCAGATATAATTACATGTCAAAAGTAAATTGGGTTAACATATCCTGGGATCATTTTGTGAATCCCACAGCATCTTTTTACCCCCCCCCCTTGTTTCCCCAAACCCCAATCCAAAACCTTAGAACGCCAGACAATCGGATAAGTACTCGGCTATCGTTTTAAAGTTTAAGCCCACGTGTTGACTCTGAAAAAAAACAAAAGGTCACCATACTGGACTGTAAACTATCCATCCCAGGCTTTAACGCCAGGTTGTCTGAGGAAGCGCTGTAACAAGACTTAACCCAAGCCTCAGCAACTTTGACTAGAATCAGATATGAGGAGATCATTTTGTATAACTCAACAGAACCTAAGCTTGTGCTCACAAGAGTAAAATAAAAATGACACCATTGCTGCATTTTAAATAATTGTTTTTTGCCCCCCAGATGTTTTCCACACAAGACCAAGCAGCCAAACAGAAGAAGAAGAAAGCTATCAAGTCTGGACGAAAGATTGTCAAGTTAAGGCAATGTAGCACTAAAAAAAAGCTCGCCACTAAATGAATGCCTACAATTTAAAACTAAATCCAAATGGAGGATTTTCCACGCAAATATCAAACTATTAATGAATCTATTTCACACCTAGAGTATAAAAAAAATCAATAAAATACAAACTAGCCCCAATGTTCATGTAGTGGCAACAAAACAAAAGAGAAGAAAATCAATGAAAAATTTGAATCACAATGTTTTTTTAAGTTTCTGTAGTCCCAGCTAAAGGGTGGGATCTCACCCACTGTAGTAAACGGTGGTATCGTTTGGTAGATTGGAGATATGAATAATAAAATTTAGGTAGTTTAAGCGTAGAGGGTTGAAGGGAGTTGAGCTGGGACAATGATCGCTGGTATAGTTCAGAAGAGGGGGATATATGATTAGTAATTGGTTATATAGAATTTTATAGATCAATTAGGGGAAGGGGGGACTGGGGAAGTGGTTAATCTGAACCACAAGTCAATTTGAGAGAATATTGAATAATTGTTGTTATGTGCTGGTTAGTGGGGGTTATTGATGGTATACAAAAATATTGTAACTTTTTTTGTTAGTACCAAAATATATATATTCCATTGACATATTCTTCTCTCCCCCAGTCATGAGGAGTTATCTTCTCCCCCAAATCTTGTAAGTTGATTGATGTAGGGAGATATGGATAAAATAAATCCGTTTTCCTTTTTCTTCTTTTTAAAGAGGGACAAAAAGTCCAACCCAATTTATTTTTTAAATATCAGTTTGATTTATTTACATTTCTTTATAACAATAATAAAAAAGGTGCCTTGATTGGGAGTTTTTTTTTATCTAGTCTTTTCTCTGTATGTTTGGCGTGTTGTTCTTAAAAGTCAATTTTGATTAAATTAATACCGTTGCAATTATTACTTCTCTTCAATGCCCGGTGGAATGCTTTAGATGGGTGCATAACTTATGTTTTGAATAGAGGGTTTTTAAAGCTTGACATAGTGTTCCCGTTTTATACAATTTACTACTAGGTATTTTCTAGATTCTAGATCTCTGGTCAAATACCATAATAAACATGGTCAACATTGGGGGGGGGGGGGGGTTTCCTTTGTCTGAAATGTTCCTTATTTGTTCAATGATAGAGATTGTGTGATACAACCAAAGTTCAATGACTGATACAAAACACCAGTGGAGAATTAATCATGAAAGATTTCAAACCCACTAGACAAATTGTATCACTTTTATTCAGTACAATTTCTCCACTTTTACTTTAAAATTTGTGTCATTCATAATAAAAAAAATTGCACGACAAACTTAAATCCTTTTAGTTTTGTTTTTAATGAGCTTTAAGAACATCCATTGAAATAACCAAACCCATGAATTTTAAAGATGGGATGAACGATCAAACATTTCCAGTGTAGCGATGATACTTCTCATAGTCCTGGTGTAGAATTTTAAATGTATCCTTGACCCCCGGGGGCAGAGCAGAATTGAGAGCGGCAAAACGAAATCTGTCACAGATTGTCATCAGCTTGTAGAGACCTTTGGCAAGTTCTTTCTAAAAATTAAAATTTATTTAAAAAAAATAATTGCAGATCCCCAGACTAATAACAACAGCATCACAAAAATAGTGAGACCAGACACCCCTTACCCTCTCATAAAGACACCAACTATCACAGTAATCAATCCGGACACTCATCAAAATAACATCAGGATAAAAAAGCATGAAACCAGACACACCATTGACAACACCAGATATCACAATCGTGAAGCTAAACATCCCCCATAATAACACCCGCATTCTGAAATTATTGACACCCAAACGATAATGCCAGATAGTATAGCAATAAATACAGAAACACACACACACCCCCCCCCCCCACACCCTAACAAATATCACCAGATTGGAGCACTATAAAAATCTTGCAACACACTAATGTTTCCTTAATGGCTTACCTTGATCTGTGTGACTCTTCCGATCCATAGAATAGCAATATATACAGAAACACACTCACGCCCCCCCCCCCACTCCCTAACAAATATCACCAGATTGGAGCACTATAAAAATCTTGCAACACACTAATGTTTCCTTAATGGCTTACCTTGATCTGTGTGTGAAGAGTTTCCCTCTGGATTCCTATGACATATTCTCCTATGACAGTGTGAGCTACTTTACTCAGATCCTGCTTGTATGCAGATGACGACAGCAGGGTTAACAGCCTGCAAGATAAGAAAAGTGATGTTTGTGAAATGGGTAATGTATATTGCTATTTGGGAGTGTTGTTCAAACACAATCTGCATGGCAAGGGATCCTGTTAAGGATCAGTGTACCAAGCTTTGTGAACTATACTTGACCCCAATCCTTTTTTGGGGTGCTGGGCACGAAATGGAATATATATTTGCTCCTTTTCCCCCCACCTACCTTGTTATCAGCTGGCCACAGTCTACAACCCTTCCCAACAAACTGACGTCAGATGATAACTGCTCATCACTGCCAAGATGCAGACAAACAGATATGAGTTGTTGTAGGAGTCAAGGAAAAGAAATTTTTTATTTTAAACATTCTTACAGATTTCTTACATTAAATTGTTTTTATGTTATCCTCCAACTCACGAAACACTAAAAAACTGATGATAAATGACACTGACTATGCAGAAGTAGCATGTCAATTAACAATCAGTCAATCCTGAAATAGGACGTCCAGGACCAGTAGCATAGAATTTTGCTTCCAGAATAAAATCTACACTTGACCAAAAAATGCCACCCCTCAATATAATAAGGGATACTGCTGGGTCAAACCCCCCCCCCCCCCCCCCCCCCCCCCCCCCCC